CAATCAATGTTATAGTAAGTTTCGTAGTTATATTTCGGGGGGGGGGGGGGGGGGGGGGGGGGATGTTCCAAGAAATGATTACGTAATATGTGAACGACCTCTAGGACTCAGTAAAGTATGTAGTGACTTACAAAGTCAGGCGGAGATACTAGATCACAGAGTGGGGTTTTAGATATTTCCAGACTTATTACATTCAGCAAGGTATCCCTCTTGTTGGACTCGAAATACTTAGCCCACTGGTGCATGGTCATTTGTAAGCTCCTTTGGGTGCTAACGTCCATCACGTCCACCTTTCTTGTAGGTCCTAGTAGAATAATAACAAACTCAGTAAATAGAGCAACACTTCGGCCACTTACCTGTCAGTTCAGTTCCATTGAAAATTGGGTCGTCGGGGCAAGGAAGTGTTAACTGTCATCACCATTGACTTTTGGAATTTCTCAATGTTTCGAACAATTTCGATAGGCGATGATAGAATAAATAAACTAATCATAGTTCGTTGCCCACCGCGCGCGGTTTAAACACGAGTGCGCGCGAAAATGGGTGTACTTTAATCATTAGCAAGCTCCAAAAACTAGTTACAGCACCAACAATTATACAATAATTAAGTACATTTTGCCCACATGATGAAATTCCTATAAATTGTTTCTACGAGGATTGGTGTAACGCCAAATTAAATGCTTCAAAATTAGCCGTTGACTAATTTAAAAGCTTAATACAATTTTGGAAAACCATGAATTTCATAAAATGTTTACAAAATATTTTGATACTAAGACTTCACAGTTGCTTAAACTATACTGAGAAAAACAAGACAGGATTTTAAAATAATACTAATTTAATTCGTGTGTAGTGTGTGTGTAGCTTACGTTGCAATTATCGAGCTCTCTTATCTTTTGTAACTTTGCGATAAGTTCAGTTTGCTGCTACCGCGTAGTAAGCCTTTGCGTGTGTATACTTGTACATTACTATACAATGTACACCACGGAGGATGATTTACATTTGACCCGATCTCAGAAGAAACTCAAGGATTTCAACTATGAAGAAAAGGAAGATGTAGAGGGCTGTGCTGATAGATGGTTCACTTCGATGGCAAGTCTACTGAAATTAGAAAACTTCGAAATTCGTGGAGATATGGACCAAGAAATACTCATGTCTCCGTCTATCTATAAAAGGTATATGGCAAACTGGGTTATGCAAGCAGCAGACCTCGTACGACGGCAGAGTAGTCAGATGAGCGCTATGATGGAAATCGTTGAGTGCCTCAAGACGGAAGCACTAGCAGACAAGGAAAAGATAGTCAGGTTGCAGGACCAGTTGCTAGTGCAGAAGGACGAACAACTACAGTTGTTTAAGACGTCAGTTGAAGAGACAGTACAAACAACGGTGGAGACAGGGATTAAGAGCTACAGTGCCGCTGTACAAAAGAACAGCACAAATGGCGCGGTCTGCAACAGTAAAATTCTGAAGAATGTAATGAAGAGTGTGGCTGCAGAGGAGGACAGGAGCAAGAATCTGATAGTGTTTGGACTGAAAGAAGAGGATGGAGAACAGCTTCCAGCTCTGGTTACCGCAGTATTGGAGGAGATCGGGGAGAAACCTCATTTTGAAGCGACTAGAGTCGGCTGGAAGAGGCCAGGTATCACGGCTATCCGACCAGTCAAGATCACCGTCCCAAGCTCAACAGCAGTTCATCAGATTCTGATGAAAACAGGGAGACTGAGGATGGCTGATGCACACAAAGATGTATGGATCTGTCCTGATAGATCCAGTGAAGAGCGTGCAGCAAGGAAGAACGTGGTAACTGACCTGAAGAAGAAGAGGGCTGAACAGACTCATCTCGACCACTACATCCGTAACGGGAAGGTCTGTAGCCGGGTTAAGAAGGCACCATGATGACGTAATTCATGTTTCTCGGACACCGATCAGTATAATATGTAGTTGTAGGAGTATTTTAAGAGTTTACGGACTTTATCTGTATTTGAGAGACAATTATATTATATAAATACATTATTATTTGATTGTTTCACACTTTTCACGTTTCATAATTTTATTACTAGGTGGAGGTGATGTTATTGAGACTTTGGGCGGCCAAAAAACTCCTGTTCTGAAAGTTGTCCTCTGTACTTGTTTCACTGACCCACGCTTTTTAGCATTTATACATTTCGGCCCATTTTATATGTTTGTTCGAATTGCTGTACATTTGTATACTTGCTATTTTGTAAAAGTTTCAAATCAAATCAATTTGTGTTTTAAAATAAAATCGCAGAAAAAAAAAAGGTATGGTACATGAATTAATTTTAAAATGTTCAGAAAACTATCGTCACAATTCTACAAAATTGGATTGCAACTTACCTACAAGTCTCTCAACGTCTTTAGCATCAAACTCAGGCTCTGGAACTCTGGGGGAAACGCATCATTTTATATTGGAGACAAGTCAAGATGACTTTCACACCATACGCTTATTGAGGAGAAATTGTATGTATACTGAAAGTGCCCATTATATTAAGGTTATCTTCATTTGGAGCAAGGATTTCAGACAGTGGGTAAGAGTTGATGCCTTCAATTTTATAGATAGCACTAAGCACGGTCGTTTAATCGATATATGGGACCATCTCATTTTGCTGATGGGGTTTTGCCTTGATATTTTAAGCACAGATTCTAGAGCATCATGGCAAATAACTTGAGACGTCTCAAGATGTTCTAGGCTAAAGGCGAGCTATTAACAAAAGTTAATTGGTTATCTTTTTTGGACACCTTACACATTACAAAGTACATACCTCAACCCGGGTGGCTTTCCAGTCTCTGCTCTCACAACAAATGGTTTGGAAAATCCTCGCCTCATAATGTTTTGCAGTGTAACATCTGAAATAGCAGCAGCTTTACTAAGATCCACTGTATAAATGACTGTGTTTCCACCTACCAATGCCGTAGAATATTAAATAAATTGCACCTATTAATTTAAAATAAACCAATAAAAGCAAACCTTTAGCAGGAAGGTAAGACACAGATCCATCGTCCTTAGTGAATATATCCGCGTTAACCTTCTCGAACAAATCAAACGTTGTGATATTGTGAGCGTTTATGTTTAAACCGAGATCCTCGTCGTAAAACTTCTCAGCACAGCGCCGCTGATAAGACTTTTAATAGAGGTATAATAATAAGAGATTATAATGTTGTTCCTGGAACGGTTTTAACCCAACACTTACAGCCCAGTTCCACGGCTCAGTTTTGCGACCAGATTTGACACAAAACTCCGCGAAAAGAGTTTTGAAAGGCAAAACTCTGCGAAGGCAGTTTCCCACGGTTGGTATTTGCACGCAGATTTGCGCGCGCACGTGGGCGCAATATAATGAAATTTAACCCACACGAGCGCCCAGGTTAAAACTGCTTTCACGGAGTTTTGGGTCATATCAAAAACATTTCTCCGTGCGGAGAAATATTTTTGAATTTCATTTCCGGTCGCAAAAATGTGAGAAAAAATGTGAGCAAATCTGGTTGCAAAACTGAGCCGTGGAACTACAGGGTTAAGGGGGCAGGGGGGGTCTTCATGGAAATTTTCTCAAAATCGACTTTTTAGTTGTTTCTGATAGAGGGGAGTAATATCTATCAGATGCTTTTGATCCCGTGGAAAAAATATCGTTCCTAGCCGAAATTATTGCAGGTCAAAGGTCAGCGCGTGTGTGTAATTGTATTGCACGAGCGATTTTTGATTGCGTTCCCTGAAAATCGAGTCTAAAAATCTATCTTCTCCTACATTTTTCGAGCAATCACCCTGAAACTTACAGGATATGTTCTAGGCATCATTTAAAAGAGATGAGCCGGGCAGAATTTTGAGATAGGCCTTTAAAAATTTCTTATTCGATTTTGAAAATCGTGGACCTCGTTTTTTGATGATTTTTCGAGGTCTACAATTTTCAAAATCGAATAAAAATTTTTTTTTTCAAGGGTGTAGGGTGCCTCAGTAGATAAATCAGATACATGTTTCTACTAATGATTATAATATTATACGGTCTACAAGAAGGATCATTTCAATCGAATAATCGACATTGGCATCATGAGATTGCATCAATTGGAAACACCTGTATTTCAGGGAAGGGGGTTTGGACCCCGGATGAAGCTATGTGCATGAATCCATTGGTCGCAACATCACCATTTGGCTAGTGTTTATACATAGTAAACAATAATCGCAACAATACTTACAATCTTCCGTCCACTCTTTGATTCTTTCATTTTAATCGTTCACTCTGATTGCACCAAATGTTAGCATTCCTATTAATGATAGTTTAGAAAATATTTATCGTAATATACTGAAATTTTTAATCTGTGATATTTTCAACTGAGAAACGGACATTTAAGAATCATATCGAAAACATAACAATTAACCATATCGCACTTCGCAGACCCTTAGATGGTTGATTTTTCTATCGATTTATTTATCCATCGATAATTATTGATAAATTCATCAATAAAACTGCTTTATTTCAAATCCCTATAATCAAAGGAAACAAGTAATAAGTTTTCATTATAAAAGAGTTTACAAGATCTAGAAATATAAAAATAAAAATTACATTTTCAATGAAAAAAATTTCTTTCTAAAACCCATTTAAGTATAAGCATCAAATACATAATTTACGTCCTGTAGAATTTTAAACATAAAATAAAGATGTCATAAAATGTGATCAAAACAGTTTAATAAATTCAATCTTCAGGATATATTATGATTGTCAATAAAGTAATGCAGCCAAAAAATCTAGATGGTAGAAAACATGCATGATAATTACAAATAAATTATTATGAAAAACTATCAAACAATTATTTAAACAGATATAACTTTTAACTCTAAAACCTTAAACCATAATCATAAAACTACGAATTAATATAAATGATCATGGTAAACCTTTTAATCATGTACAAACCAGTTTCATTATTCATATAAACCAATGTCATCGTCAATTTAAGATTAAAGTACATAATTTAAGAAGCATTAAAACATTTTCACAATGTAAACTATATTAGTCAGTATGAAAGTATATAAAGATAATAATATAATGTAACATCAGTATTTTAATAAGTACATACTCCTCTTTACTTATATAAGTAGAGATAAGTACTACCAAGTTTCAGGATGTGTCTCACTAATATTGACATGTAAATCAGAGGTCTTCTTAAGAGTAGCAGTAAAGTAAAGTATTATCCCACCGTACCCCTTATCCTGTATCATATCAAACAACTTCTTGAAATTCTCCTCTGAAAATAACAATGTTATATATAATAATATATATCATAGTGTGTGCCAGAGTTGTTATGATCTGTATAAGTACTAGCGAGTTTTGGATATGATTTAAAGTAATCACATGAGTACTACTTAGAATTGTAACTATACCTGAAGGTAGAATGGTGGCCTGGTAGGAACGTTGTTTGTCGTATACTATAAGAGGCCTGTCAGCACGGGCTCCTTGTCCTCCGACTACAGCCTGAAAACATAGAACTTACAATTACTGAACATGTTACTATATTTAGAATTATAGTTTTTTAGTCCTGGTACTAGTATTACAATATAATTCACCTTTAACAATTAACATGTGGAAGTGATAAGTTAAAATACATCCAACTTAAGGATTTAAATCTCCGCAGTAAGCTAATTACTTTTAAAGCCCGTAATTAATATCACAAATCTCACCTGAACTTTAACTCTCATAGCTTTCTCCTCACATAGAATCACGTTTTTACCATCAGACAGCTGTTTGCCTCTCTTAGGCTTCTCACCTTTCCCTGGTTCAGTTACTGGATGAAACACTAAAACCATGTCATTCCTCTTGTTCTCAGTTTGTTTTGCTTTACAGGGTCTTTTATGAGCTTTCCAATGGTTCTTTTGGCAAGCAGTGCTGCAATACCCAACCACAAGACATCCTGAACATTTCTTCAGAACCTTATCTTTAGCTCCACAGTTTGAGCATGCATCCACAAGATTTTCCTTGCCTGATAGTTTTAATATCCACTTTTCTTTTTCAGCTAATCGGCAGTTTCCTTTAGAGAAAATAGAAGCTATTTTCTGATTCATCGATGCATATGCATAACAAGAGACCCCAAAACTATCAACATGCTTTGGATTGCAACCGTGGCAGACAAGAAACTCAATGTACTCATAATTCAAAGTGATACAAGGTTCAAAGAGAGCTGTTGAACCAAATCTGTTGGTGGAATTGACATCAGCTCCATTGGCAACCAACATTCTGGCTATTTCCAGAGAATAAGGATTCCCAAACTGAGACATGCAGTGATTGAGAGATGTTGATCCTCCAACATCTTTAGCATTGACTCTAGCACCTTTCTCAATTAATAATTTGGCGATTTCTACATGTGACTTGCTTGGATTCTTTCTTACTCCAAAAACTATATGAAACAAGCCACAAACCCGCATAAGTGATTCTCTTTTCTCAATTAAGTGCATGACCTCTGTGTTGGAAATGGCAGTAGCTTTGTTCAAAAGTTCAATGACAGCAGCTTTGTTGCCCTCGTAACATGCTTTGGACCACTCAGACAGACGAGTGTTGTGCTCGAAATCATAGTCCATCCTTTGAGCACTTTGAGCCTGCATTTTCATAGCTTCAGCGCCAAACAGTTGGGATTGTTCCCCATCTCCATAAGAGTCACTGTCTTCTTTTCCATATCCCAGATCCTCCAACATGCATTTCACATGCAACTCTTCTTCAGCATCAGCTATAGCTTTAGTACTTTGGTTTATTATTTCTCTAACAAACACATTCTCACCCATAAGAGAACTTAACTTTTCATCCAGATCCACATTTGATTTATCTTCATCTTTCATTATCTTCATGACCTGTTTTATCTTATCAGGATCGGCAATGATCAATCCAGTGTCTTTGGGATCAGTTAATGGCTCTATTGTTGCTTTACTCATGTCAGTACACAGGTCTATTTCATCGGCAACGCAAGCCATCACTGGAATTATAATATGACATTTAAGTATGATAAGAGACTATACATGATCAATGATCATACATTAATAGTAAATATAAGGGATTAAGATGTTTTTGCAGGTTACGACCTGAAGGAAATTGGAAACTCAAATCAAATCATTGATAGCCTTACAATACAAGGTTTACTAAAGTTAATTAATCACCTTTAAAATGTATAGATCCCATCCGTTATCATTTTAAAAATAGTTATGGTTAATGGTTATGTTTAAAATCACATTGAAATTGTGAGCATTTTCAATAATTCCATTGACTGCGGCTTTGTTAACAAGGTTTGGCCGGTAGACTCCGCAGTAGTCCTATCACCTTAGTATTGCTGTGCAACTACTACAAATTCCATAATTTGTAAGGCCAAGGATAGCGCCCTTTAGTGAGAAAATACCTGTCTGCACCATCGGCATCAACCTCTGTCGGGAGACTGTTTTCTACTGCCGGAAACACAATAGGAACCAACCGTTTATCTTTGCAACCTCTTCTTGAAGTACAACTTACGGTCTCTAGGAATCAACAGCCGGATTGATCTTTCTACACCAGAGGCAAGTGGACTTTCCGGCCCAAACGGCAAACAGTGGCACAAGTAATAATTTGCCACCTGCTAGAGGGGGGACTGATGATTGAGGAGGAAGAGGAGGAGGATGAAGAGGAGGAGGAGGACCCAGGAGGAGGAGGACCCAGGCGGAGGAGGACCCAGGAGGAGGACCCAGGAGGAGGACTCAGGAGGAGGAGGAGAACGACTGAGGAGGACTGAGGAGGAGGTGGAAGAGGAGGAGGAGGATTTCCATTTTTGTTATTTTTTGTCCGTTTTTGTCCGCTCTATTTTTTTTTTCGTTTTGAAAACCGAACGGACAAAAAAAGGAGGAATCAAGAACTATAAGATTCTTGTCTGTCTGTGTGATCCCTACTAGTTACTGTTAGTGTAGAGCAATTTGTCTCCATTGTTCTAAATTTCTACAAAACTTGGTGAAGATGAATAAAAGGGATACGTTGATTACTGGAGACACAAACATCAAAATATCCCCAGTGCCCCTACTATCCATTTTATGTCCCCAATGTATTTCAACACTACTATATAACAAATAATTTGAGATCATGAATACGATGTAGTTACATTGAAACGTCGAGTAAACTCCTTTCCCTAATAAGAGCATTTTCACTTGTCGCAACAACCGGGATAAAATAATTTTACACAGAATACATTACAACAATGCGACTCATAAATAATACTCCAATCCGGATTTTACATGATATCAACATCGTTATATCTTCGGATGAAGATGAGCCTGAAATTTAATCAATCCTTCAAGTCTCGATTTTTAACAGTCGTGCCATCCTCAGTGAACTTGTAAAATGGTAATCAAATAAAAATTCAGTAAAAACAGTGAAATACACCGATCTAAACTACTTTTATAATACAGGGTGGGCCAAAAGTCAGTGTGCAAACGTTCGGTCTTATACCTCCGCCGTGTTTTATATTTGAGGGTTGTTGCTTTGCAGATGGTTTACTGTACCTACTGGTTCGAGGATTCCGTCACCAAAATTTGAAAATTCGAATATTTTAGACCACGCCCATTCAATATTAAAACACTTATATTGTTCTCCCCGAACATGCTAGATGTCTAATTTTTTCAGAGACGGTAGATTATTAAATGTTGCATATGATCTGAAAATATGAGGCAAAACGGATTAGAAATGACGAAGTTATCAAGCATTTTCTGTATCTCGTTAACAAAATTGACTGGGTGATTATGTGACACCGCGACACGACACCTTAATTGGGCAGCCTTCACGATTCCCATAATGTTTAACGGGGTGGTTAACGGGGTCACCTAATCACGTGATTAGGTAAACCAATCACCTGATCACACGTAATGAATAACCTCGTTAAGGTTCATATCTCGGTCATCTGAGAAGCTAGAACTCTCATTTTTTCAGGGCAAACGTAATTTAAATGGCCAAACACAATTCAATAAAATCTGGCTCGATCCGACTATCCAAACTATCAAATAAATGCGAAAATGAACCTTCTTTTGAAAAAAATGAACACAAATATGTTTCGATTTGACAAATTTCTCGAACCAGTGGTGGTAGTAAGTCATACCAGAACAAATTATTTTAATTGGGCACTCAGTGACTGAGCTATTAAGGCCAACGTTTGCCACTCCTGCGCGCAGTGTTGTGACCTCCCTTCGTCGTAATTAGCTCGTATTCAGATTGAACAATTTTGAAGTCAAATAAATGTGGTTTCTTTTAGACTTAAATAAACAATATGGATGTAGTCCGAAAGTAATTTGTCTACTAAATAACATTTTGAAATTATGAACAAAATTGGTGAAAATTTGCCGTAGATGTGGCCAAAAAACTACGCGCAGAACTAAATATTTCTTCATTAACGCGTGAAAATTTTTGAGTTTAACATTGAATATTTTAGCTTGGTTATTGTAATACTTAATTTTCAAGTCTCTATCCGATAACTAAATATTTTATCTTTACGACAGTATAAAATTTGTTTGTATATTTGCTAAATTAAAAAAACAGTAGGAATAGAAGCGTCGAAGGTCTTGCGCTTATTTCAGTCCCAAAATATATCCTAATCATAAACTTCATAAAACCCACTGAAAATGATGTCTACAGGCATATTTATCCCGTACACCTTCCTAAATCATTTAGCAAGGGTTCAGAGCCAGTTTTTAAAATTAGCTTTCGAATATCATTGTCAAGACATAAAACTATAAATAAATGAGTGCCTTTTTCTCTTCCGTCTCAACAATTTCTCTTTCATTTTAACACTATACATTAGTAAAAGCAATCAGCGATCTTTATTAATCATTGAAGGAGTAGAGTAATTGGTCCTCGTCAATGTTTAGTGTCTGATTACAGTTTCGGTCCGACCTCCACAACTGAAAAGATATGGGGGTATTATCAGTTATGTAAATGGACAAATTATATTTGCATCATAAAACTATGAAAAGATTGAAACTAATGTTTTTTAAGGCTCGCCTTTTCGTTTAACTTTAAGCAATCAAATAGTCAGTGCATGCACAGTAAAGAACAGTTGAAGGCACCGGGAATGTTTCAAATATAACCTATGTCTACTATCAAGTATCAGACCACACACCCCATTATGCACTACAATGTACAATGGCAATTAAAATGTGTTCCCGCAATTTTAAAATGCGCGCATCTTGCGCCGTGACCATGACGGTCACAGCGCATGCTGGTGAACGGAGGTTATAGGCTGGTGAACGAGTTATTGGGACAAAATTGGAACATTTTGGAACATTGGTTACATCGGTTGTGGACATGCAGTGATCCCCAAACTTGGTTTGAGTGGTCCTAGGACCAATCTAAACGCTTTCCGGCCAGTTTTAAACCGTTCTGAGCACTTTTAGTTTTAGGAGATTCTTAATTTTTGTTCATTTTCGTGCATTCCATGAACCTGGGTAATTTTCATGCTCATTGGAAATTAGAAGGTAAAATAACTCACATAACAGTGCTCCCGACAAGTTTCACGGATATAGTGATTGAGTTTCTAGTCACCTAGCCTCTTGGCCTGAAAGATTTCTTGTTCGCCAGGGTGACTGCTTGAACGTCAACTTCAACCTCTCCCACTGCATCGAATCGAGGTAGAGTTGTTAACTGAAATATTACATTCAGTCTAGCGGCCAAATTTCATTGATTTCAGAGGGTGTGGCACGTCACTCTCTCCTTTTAGTTTTAATTATTGTTGCCATAAAGCGAGAACACTTTATACTAGGAACTCCAAAGTTGACAGACACATTAAATTTGGTATAACAATTCAAGTGATTCCCAAAATTTCAAGTTGATTACACAATTTAGCCAAGTTATGAACCATTTAAGGGCTGCACGACAAAGGGGAACCCCAATTATTTATATTAGGGAGTCAAATTATATCACCAATTAGTGCCGTATAATTAATGATGTGATCATCCATCCAGTTGTTTGACATGTGCCCGGATGAAGGATATGAAAAGTAGAATGGTATGAAGAGAACAGTGGAAGTGGAGGCGTCGAAGAAAGTCTGAGTCTAGGGGGAGAGGTGATTCCAAACGTAGCGGAAAAGCCAATCAAGTTCCTGGGTCGGTGGATTAGAGCAGAGGCAGCACACCATGATGACATGATAAGGGCGATTTAACCGCAAGTCAGGTCAGGGAGAGTTTGGAGACCAGACAAGGAACTAGATTGTGCTGAGAGGGACTTAGTCTGTGAAGAGGTGAGAGGAATGGTCCAGCCGTACAGCAGGGCAGGGATTGGTTTTGGAGAATGGAAGAAACCGTGGAAGAAGATGGACATGAGCTGGCACACACTCACAGGTTTTATGCTCAGTGCGACTTATGGTACTGTGGTCACACCAAATTGATTTTTTCAAATAATCCAAATACAGGCAGCGATTTAGTCAACTTAAGTTTTTCATTTATTTAATTGAACATTAAAAATGTATCCTTCATAGAATTTTGCATTTTTCATTATCTCGAGGGTATAAAATTGTCAATTGAGAAACACGTCATAAATCTAAACAAATAAGTTCATTAAAATAGCTATCAATCAGTAAATGAACGAACCTGTACATCTAGATGATGTAGGTCCACCACTTGTAACTTGTCAAACCGGTTGTTGTACAGCTTCCTGCTCAGCCTGAAAACACATTTCTGTTACCATGACAACGTTACCATTACAAGTTACCCGTGATGGGGAGTGTCATGAGGTTACGTGACTGATAAAGTTAATACACCTCCTCCCCACTAATAGTGCACTCACCTGGAAATGAGGTAGTAGAGTCTCCAAAAAGTGAGGACCAGCGTCATGTCAGTAACTTTTAAAAAAGCCCCCTATCATAATATTTTAGTTTCTCATGCACGATTAAAAAATAGTAGTTCATCTTGGGGATGTTAATTCGAGTTGAACCCAACTTACACCAGATAAGATATGACTAAATTACCTGGCAGACTTAACAGCCGAACTTATAGACCACAAAGTCTTGAGGGGAGAGGTCGTTAAGATCAACAGGTATTAGCTCAGCATCAGAATCGTGTTCAGAGTTCAATTTTGAGATATACCCTCCTGAGGGTGAAAGTTTGGTTACCAAGTGAGATGACACAGTCAGTTACTTAGATACCGTGGTTACTAAATGACGGCAAATCAGTTGCTTAGACTTAGTGACTCTAGGGACGGAATTGTATGATAATTGCCAGAATTATGTTAAATATGAAATAAGTCCTAAGACAAACATTTTTACATATGTTTTGACACACGTTTTCTCTGCGTAATTTCCACACTAGAGGGGGGGGGGTATAAAGCATGTCATCAAATTCTAATTATACATTTCACATTCAATATTCACGCATGTACACAGACAATTAATTGGCACGTGTTTTGTTAACGATTTCTAATAAAATTCAAGTTGCCCTGCTGGTGTGGCTAAATGTTAAAGTGAGTCGGCGATTGGTACAGTATAAATGGAAAAGACAACTACTTTTTATATTAATTATATAATGATTTATTTTATTAGGTTACTTATTAATTTATTCGAGAAATAATCTGGAAGTATTATCGGCATATTTTCACACATATATGACTACGAGCACATACACAGCTCAGTGGCCAATAAGCTGTACACAGCAGGGTTTTAGCGTAATAATCGATATTTTAGAATGTTCTAGTTTAAGTGTAGAATAGCCATAAGAGCTGAGTGTAAGATTAGGTAGGATTAGTGTATAGCTTTTGGATGGTTTTGCGGAGTAAGACACGCGTTAGTCGGGTGCATTAGTTAGCAATGTGTGGCCAATTGCAACAGCTTATTCTACTGATAGAATATATCGACCAATGGCAGCAGTTTTAATTAAGATAACGCTAAAAAAGGTTGCTAAATTACGCAAGAAATGCAAGCATTATTTTAATCGTTACATTTTCAATTCGTTACAGTATACTTTTCCATTCAAAAATGAAGCATTCCTCCCTTATTGGAGAGCCACTGGAGTTACCTCAAACGATTCCTTCGACTAGGAGAGTGCTACTATTATAGTAGGGTATTTATAAAACACATTATTTGGCCGTTTTAAATCCTGAAATGAGTGCCAAGAGTCAGTTTTGTGGATTATATTGTTGGCTTTAAAAAGTGTAAACAGTAGGGTATTTATAAAACACATAATTACTGAACACGTGTCGAGATTTACACCCCTCGGGAAACGTGAGCACACACTTAAAACGTGAAAAATCAATAATCAAGTAATCACACGTTTCCTTGCCCCTTCCCTTGTCTGAAAAGTGAAAACTATCCCCTCCCCTTTCACCAAACGTGTGTCTAATCACGAGCAATTTAAATCTAACACGTAAAAACAAGTAACACATAAATGCGAGTACAGTGGCAGTCAACTACATGAGTGGTAGTCAACTGATAGTGCGGAGAAACACGGCACACACGTTAGGCCAGGAATGTTCCGCGCCGTATAAGGAATAATTCACTGGGTGTACAAATAAACAATGTAGTTGGGCCGTGAACTGGTGGTATTTTTTACACAACTTGTTTTAGTGGGCTTGTCAAGTCCTGTGCTCGATTATAGGAGTATAGAAGTGAGGCGGAACACCATAGTATGAAGAAACAGGCACTTTTAGAGTCCATATTATCACTTTTCACGCTCAGTGCTTCAGACTTTAAAGTAAAATTGGCACTTTCCATTTTAACTTCGGCTAATTGATCCCTTACCAATATAAGATAAGTTGTAAATGTAAGTATGAATTGTGGGTCAAATAAGACAGTAGTTTTTATGTTCTTAGGTGACTTTTTAATCTATAATTCCCGGCCAAATTCCCGGCCAAAAACTCAAAATTGGCCGGGGCCGGGAATAAACACCTCCCCCGGCGCCGGGAATCCGTCGGTCCTGCTTACAGCACAGTAAACAGAGCCAAAGTTGTTACTTGTCAAATGCTAAAATAGAATCTCTAGAATACAAATAAATTCATTCGATCAACATCGACAATGACGTCACAACGACGGTAACGTCACGAAGCTCACTTGAAGTGTTTGCTGCTGTCTGAGTTTATCGGCGCCCAGCTTGTTCGCCAGTCTCTGTACTTCTTCAGCGTGCTGATTCAACAGCTCTTTAGGAGATGCTTCTTGGTCTTTCAGCGCTTTTATGTTTTAGCTTCACCTGAAATAATCGAGAGGTAATATTGTCTTCTTTCTCTGATAACAAACAAAATAATAAACAAACAAATAAGCAAAGTTTTGTCTGTTTTCAAGCTCAAAAGTAATAGTTTAATATAACAAGACTGACTGGCTAAGCATGTTGATCTAGTAACACTAACACGACTCACGAGCCCTTTAAAGCTTGTATTGCTGGGGCTCCATTAATCGAAGCTTCCTAGTCGCATTCTTAATTCCGAATAAAACCGAAACCAAATATGAAATAACAGATATTTACAATAAATACCAATTAATTACTTACCGGTTTGTAAAAGTTGTCCGACTTTAAAATCTATAATCAAAACCCTATTATCTGTTATTGTGTATCGTTAATTGCATTATATAATACAGCAAGGCTGATTACTGCTGACACATTATCAAACAACTAAGAGCAAAAATATGGATGATAGAATAACGCGAGTGGCAAGGCAACATTAACAGGGCGCAATTAATGTGTGAACAGTGAACGCACGAGGTGTAAAGATCAAAGTGCTCCTTCATCAATTATGTTCACTCTTAGACGGATTTGACACGCGAAATTGCGCGGCAAATATGCGCGGCGTGTAAAACTTTTGTAAACCTTTCGGACAAGGGTTAAATTATTTTTCTACTGTCAACACAGCCCAAGTTATACGTGTTTTAATATCAAAAAATGTCCAATTTTTTTGTATCATTTTTAACTAATATCTTTTTCAAATCGCTGCCACATCAAAATTATTTTACGAAAGTACATTAAATTTTCACAGAAAGCAAGCTTAATCGTTTTAGAACTAAATTAAAAAAGAATTTAATGTAAAAATGTTAAAACTTTAAAATTATCAATGGAATAAATTGCCAACGTCCAAATATGTGTGAAATACGACGAAGAGCGGTCACGACACTGCGCGCAGCAGTGTTTGCACACTGACTTTTGGCCCACCCTGTACCTTCAGGGCTTGATTCACGATGTCAATCCTTCATAGCTCGGCGAGGCCCAGTGGTGCATCTCGCCGATCTACGGAATATGGTTGCGAGAATATGCGCGGCGCGGCCCAGTAGTGCATCGCGCTACAACCTCAGGGCCTTTTCACAAAAAATTAATTGAGGCGAGTGATTTAGAGAAAACGGTTCAAATTAGCTGCTTTTGTTGCTCCAAAAGCCGCGCATCATTAAACATAGCACAATAATTATTGACCATTGTTAATGTAATAATACGTCCGTGCGCGGCTTGAGCCGCGCCGTATAACAATTGATGCGTATAAGGGCTGGAGTACGCGTGTTTACAAATAAATGAATTGTTGCATTATAATAATATATAAAGTTGACAATATATTATAATGATCTAATAGTAAATTTTACAAAGCTGGCTTTGGACTTAGGTAAAATTATAATTTTTTTTAATTTTAAAAACCACGGATAATTTTAAATTTACGTTGTCGTATATAACTATAATCAAGTTAATCCTGTTTTCAAGAATGCACGGCTATGGCGGCCAGTTATTGATTTATACATAAAATTGAATTTTAAATAGAAATGTGAATATATTAAAATTTAAAACTTTCAAAACGGATGCTTATAAATATTATTATATTATGATTGTAAAATAAAGGATAAAATTTTAAATTTGTTTCACTAAAAATTTGTTTCACTAATGATCTGGCCCGGCGCGCGCTACTTCGTAGCACTTGCCATCGGGCAAGAAGAAAGCGGCGCGCGCTACTTCGAAGAAATTTAGACGAGTAACATCCGTCAAGGTAAGTGGTTGAATTTAGGGGAATTTAGTGAGACAGGGTCAGTTTCTCTATTGTCTTAGAAAAATTTCTACTTTACAGTAGGCAATGCTGAGTGGCAGGAATGAGGGACCAAAACGCTTGGGGCTAACAATGGCCCATTTACAAACTACTTCAGACATGGCAATGATGTCATTTATGCTTAATTCGTCTGAAACTGACCCTACTGCACTTCTAATATTCTATAAAAATCTCTTCTAAAATAGGTATAAAGATGCATAGCACAAAACACACAAACAAAAATGTTTATAATCCATATATATATAAATAAATTTCTATAGAACTTTCAAATTTCTATAAAACTGGTAAACCTATAATCTATATATAATATATTTATTCATTTTGCACCCAGAGAAAGATGTGATCACAGAGGTAGTATCGATATTATGTTCATGACAAGGTATGGGGCTGCTGCAAGTTATATTTTGCTAAGATATTACAGCTTTTGTAAGCTTAAGTAATCTAGGCAAGGTCAATTTTAAAGTTTTTGAATTTTGTCGAACACTGTTTAAGGCTAAGTTCCAGTCATTTGGTTCTCCTTCCTTTTGAGTGTGAGCGATGGTTATTTTTATGGATGATTTGAGGTGATTGGGCTTACAGGTGAATGTAGTTAGCATGAGATTTTGTCGTACTGTGTTCCAGATTGTCCCTGCTCTATATATGTAGCTGTCTGATGGTTTAGGTCAGTACATCAGTACATAGCATATAGCTAAAACAATGTGTGAGATATCGGCTCATGCTCAAATGGGAATAAAAAACTGCATACTGCATAGAGTTTGGGGGTTACAGAGAGAAGTGGAATTGTACCAGATATCGTTGTGGACATTTGCCCTTCCAATATAATACCATGACGATATGTTTGCAGCATACTGCACATAGATATAGTACGTTATAATATGTGACATTTGACCACTATTATCAAACGCCCAATGTATAATATTCCGGGTTTTTTGGAATCTCGAAAATAACGTTCTCCTTTTGAAAATCTAAACTAAGCACAATATAGCTACAAGCTGTTTGGGATGTTAAAAAACCACAACGATATGTCAATGGTAAAGCGGAAGATTGGATAGAGCACTGGAGCCTAAGATCTTAAAATCCTATGATCTAATATTTGGAATGTAATTCTATTCAATGTTTATCATATTTTGATATAATTAGTGTGTCCTTTGAGAAAGTAAAGCTTGACAATGCAAGGTGTACCCGGGAATGTGGCCGGGCGCTTATAACAGAGCCACCCATCAAATCAGGACTTTACCCATCACATGTGGTAGTGGCAGCATCAACTAAAATAGTTGCTTTTAATATTTGTTCAGGGCTCAAGATTAATCACTCAATAAAATATCCTGATGTCAGCAATTATTTGCAGCTTTATGTAAATATGAATCATGTAAAGAGAGTTCATGGAATGTTCCACAGATCTATTACAACAACAGGTTTGTTAATTTATTTTATCTTTAACGTGAGAAAATCAAATCAATCTCTACTATAATTCAAAGAATTATTTCTGATGTACGACCGCCCACGTGCAAATTAGATGAAAAATAGGAAGTTGCATAGTAACCATGGTAATGGTGTTGAAACGCGCACATGCACGTGCAATGATTGTTTTAACGTCATTTTGATCAGTTTTGTGGTAATTACGTTGGGTTTAAATTGTTTACATTTAAATCGGCTGTATCTTCTGTTCGGATGAATATTTCTGTATGTGATTTATTTCAAATAATACTACTAGCTTCCTCCCTCACTCCCTGTTACCACGGGCTTTCTAGTTTTGTTATAAAACCAAATCGTTCTTATTGCTAACTATCTATTTAATGAAGAATTTTAACTTGTCTTGTGAGATTAGATTAGATTAAGATTAAGAATAATGACATAAACATCATCACTAGTTTTAAACATTCTTTCTGATTTCCTCATTATCAGAACTGTGAACATTTCACAGCCTTCGTCATTAAAAAACAAACAAATTCTATAACTAACATAATTGTCATAATTTATTTACATATAAAAAAGTTTAAAAAGTTAAAAACCGTTAATTTAAAAAATAAATAAATAAAAACAAATTCATGAGATATTTATTCCCTTTCTCTTGGCAGAGAGATTTTTTTAGATGCTTTTCCAAAACAAATTTGAATTTGAACTAATTAATCTTAATTAATAAATCTTTCAGCACTGTGTTTGAAGAAACCACAAGTGGCAGCTTTGGCTAGGAAAGCACCCCGAACTTGTGATCCTGATTTCACTAGGTTGATATTGAATATTTTACAGTGTAATTATGATATAATATAGCAGTAAAACTTGAATAAGCTATAACAAAAGATCCATTTCCCAGGTCAAGAATTATGCGAGACTGTGAGTTAGGCTTATCGCACAAAATAAATAACTAGAAATAAAATAATTATAATACAGGTGCAGTGTATGGTGTATTTTATCAGGTGTTTATATTGTAAAAACTTCAACGTTACGCGCACGAGAATTTGTGCAAGATCTGTGTGATATTCTTTAATCTCATACGCAGGCTCATGGTCAAGTGATACTGGCCGTGAGCCTACGGTGTGCTTTTTCAGCATCATAGATTTCATTCCTATCGAGTAGGTGACCTAGTGGTTAGAGCATCAGGGTTCGAATCCCAGTGTCACCTAGTCTAGGGAGTAGCTAAGGATCCATTGAATCTATGCGATCTCCTTGTCTGTTGTCTAAGACTAGACGACGGGTATCCGCAGTGGCATAAATTTAAAAGGTGGCTAGGAATACAGTCTGGAAAGGAAAAAATAAGGCTATATATTTTTGTAACGGCTATAAATGTTTCGGCTGCTTCGGGGCCGGATGACGATTTTATTATGTCTCATCCTCAATTCCATACCACACTGTATCGTACTTTGCTAATTATATTACCGAGGTATCATTAGTTACACATAATTGCCAAAAAAGTGGGAAGAAAATTATATTCAACCTAGCCTCGAACACGCAATCTTCATAACTAGATTCTGCGAGCTAACCAGCTATTACTGCAATTGAAGTTTCATAATTCCTCTCCAGAGGGAAATGAGATTGGCCCTGAGTTCTTCAGTTGGCGCAAGACATGTGGGGGCAGTGGGTGGGGGGCTGGGAATCGCACTTTCAATTGCCCAAAATCCAGTCTCATTGCATTTTCTCAGGAATCTTGGTAAGGGATCCATTGATCTGTCTTGAAATGATAACAACGAATAATGAGCTTATTTTCTTCAACAGATGCAGAGGGGCATCTCCTTTAGAAGGGGAAGAAGATCCAATCCTAGGACCTGATGAAGATTATCCAGATTGGTTGTGGGAAATTGCTGATACCTACAACATGCCCATTGACGAGCATCTTCAGAAGCCAGATCATAATCTGTTTACCAAGATAAATGACTTTAGAATGAACATGAACAACAGGGTCATGAAGCTGAGACACAAACACCCAGACTTATACAGTCAGTTGAAGTTCCCAACGGAGGACGAAATTATTGACGAGTAAGTAACTCCGGAAGGTAGATCTACATTCTACATTGAACAACTTGAAACCTTTTCTTTGAGTTTTTATCACACTAATAACGTGTTGATTTATTAAGCAAGGTGGTTGTTTTATATTGTAATATTCTAAACTGTTTCTCACTTATTATCCTCTGTACTGCTTTGATGATTATCAGTTTAAAACTTTTGTGTCATGTACAACGAAAAGAATTGAGTCAACGAAAAGTGTGTTGAGTGACCAAATATCACAGGATAAGAGAAGTGGAAGCAAGACGGAGGCCAAATCTGGCAGAAGGCCAGGCTTTTGCTTTGGATTTGAGGGAAAAAGCTGCAACTGAGATTGGAGGCAGTAAAGGTGGCTTGAAACCAGAGCGCATGGAGGAGGATGCATTGAATTAGATCTGTGGAAAAGAAGAAAGTGTGAGCAATAATACTGTAAATAATGCAGTGAGTAACAAGATTTGCCAGTGCAATAGAAGAATGGAACAACAGAAACTTGCGATTATTAAAGTTTAAAGAAATAGAAACATCCCAGATTATAATATCATGTACCTAAATATAAGGATTTAGGACTTTCTATATATCCACTAACTATACTTACGTACTTCATAGATCATTAATTTATTATTTATGACATGATGGTATATTTATTGCTCTATAGTCGATACTACAGTATACAAACTATACATATATTGAAGTTTTATTCAGTATACTAACAAGCTGGTTTTACTATGAAAATCCTGAATTATCATGTCTTGTACATTAATGTAAATTGTACAAGCACTCAAGGTTCTTTAGTAGTGTCCATTCAAAAGTTCACTGTACTTAAGTGTGAATCAGAAACCCAAATCTTTTAGCTTAATTAACCCAAAGAATCCGAGTAAATCAGGGCTTAACTATTGGAATTACTGTTTTACATAAGATATTGAACGTTGTGGGTTTGAAAGGTTACATTATAATAACGTATACATAATACATATTACATATCATATACTTTATGTATAATGCTGTCTTATCTCTAGATAGATGTATAGAACATGGTTGAAATTTCGATTCAATCCAACTTAGATAAAATGACTGACGAAGAAGCAAAGATAAGATTTGAGCTGGCGTGCAATGACTACATCAGAGAACCGAATAAGGAAGCATTCGAATTTGTGGCTGAGAATGGTCACAGATTCTCAATACTGCAATTTGTTCAGCTGCTTCAGTGAGTGTACTGGTTTATAACATAATATAAAGCACATGAAATAGTTTACACTTTGGAGGCCTATTTGATGAACTTGGTAATTTAATTAAACAAAAAGGAAGACGCATAACTTAAAATACGTTCATTAATTGGTAACTCTTTCCCTCACCCAGGCAGCATATTACCTCTAAAGTTGATGATGTCCGACTTAATGCTATTACTTTGCTAGTGGACGTGTCCGTCAAGTCTAAACTTAACGATTCTGAAGGTTTGTTTAAAATTAAAATATCTCACCTATTGCCGTTATCGAACTTAACACAAATCTGAAGTAGTTAACAATTAAGCTCTGATAACAATATCTCACCCTTTAAATAGCTATCAGATTTATAATGAATATTGCTCCTAATAATACTATTAACACTGCACCATATTCTCACAACACACAATTCCCAGTGGTAGTTCTAATAAACTGCACCATATTCTCACAACACACAATTCCCAGTGGTAGTTCTAATAAACTGCACCATATTCTCACACAATTCCCAGTGGTAGTTCTAATAAACTGCACCATATTCTCACAACACACAATTCCCAGTGGTAGTTCTAATAAACTGCACCATATTCTCACAACACACAATTCCCAGTGGTAGTTCTAATAAACTGCACCATATTCTCACAACACACAATTCCCAGTGGTAGTTCTAATAAACTGCACCATATTCTCACAACACACAATTCCCAGTGGTAGTTCTAATAAACTGCACCATATTCTCACAACACACAATTCCCAGTGGTAGTTCTAATAAACTGCACCATATTCTCACAACACACAATTCCCAGTGGTAGTTCTAATAAACTGCACCATATTCTCACAACACACAATTCCCAGTGGTAGTTCTAATAAACTGCACCATATTCTCACAACACACAATTCCCAGTGGTAGTTCTAATAAACTACACCATATTCTCACAACACACAATTCCCAGTGGTAGTTCTAATAAAGTATCTGTGCGGGAGACTCTCAGAGAAGTACAGCATAGTTCCCAAGATACTGTCAGGACTGACAGGCTACGTGAAGGAGAGAGAAGTGGACTCTAGCACTGCTTGTTTGATAGCTAAAGAGTTAGCTCAGTCGGTTGATGTTCAGGCACTACATCAGGTGGGACAGGGTTGTAGCGAATGGTTTATTCTAGAGGGGACTGTACTTCAGATAATTATCATCATTCATTGTTTGATATTGTTCTTGTCCAAGAAAATGGCCAATCCTTTCAGTGTTTTCCCGAGAAATCTGAGTGGTAAATTTCTAAACCTCCAAAATGAGCCGATTGAAATCATTAACAATCCCTGGTTTATGAACGCCTTAAAATGTTATTGAATATTCTAAAATCTTAACACTTTATTCCGTATGTTTATAATGAACATTCCCAGGACACAAGACACAAGGCATACACCCTCGTATACTCCCTATTACACTGCAACTTACTCAGTAAGAACAAGTAGTAATAGTATTAGGTATCTATACTGTAACATAATTCAAACTTATTAACAGATATAATATCCAATACTGAATTCTAATAGCTCTGTTCGTTACCGCAAGAATGGAGAACAGTTCGTAATAATTTAACCAACATTTTTCTCCATTCATGATTCATCCCATAAGTACTCCCCAGACGAACTCCCCCCTCCCATGTGTATTTATTTGTGTTTGTTTCAGGTTTACTGGAAGGAATGAACAATGAGTTTGTTGTGAGTTACATTAATCTGATCGATGGAGAGCAGGACCCGCGGAATCTGATGCTGATATTTAACATGACAGTAATTGTACTTCAACACTTCAACCTTGGTAATATTTGTTATCTTTATAATTTACTTACTTTTATACTTTGATAAATGCTAAAAACTTGAAAGTTTTGGCGTAATGAAGAAAAAAGGCGGAATTTTGCAGCAAAATACATGGCACAACAAATTGCACTATATTCTGAAATTCTGATAATTTCAGTCAAAACCGCGAAATTTCAGTCAAGGGGACGGCAGAAAAGCTTCTCTTTAAAAATATTCCAAAACCTCTTTTTATATTGTGATGATTTTCCGTTTATCAAAGCTTTCTTAGGGAATAGAACTTTGAGTACCTCAATCGTGTCTTGTGCCATCCTCAGTGACCTTGTAAGATCATGGTCATTGAAGAAAAATTCAGTCAAAACAGCAAAATTTGGGTCGCCGAAAGCTGAAATTCTAATATGTCCTACTGTTAGCTATATACTATTATTCTATCAATAACTTGGTGATTTACTATCAGATAATATTGAAGAAACACTATTTGACGTTATATCCTGTTACTACCCTATTGATTTCACCCCACCGGATGACGCTGATGTAAAAGTCAGTCCAGAAGACCTGAGAGGCAGACTTAACAACTGCTTTAAAGCTAACAACAAACTGGCTAAACACGCTATCCCCTTCTTACTGGATAAGTTTACCAGCTCTGTTATGCAGGTTTGTGTTTTTTAGGTAAACAAACAGACTTTGAACAATATATTGTTCAAGGGAATCCTACTCAGGAGTCTTCCTTTTTAATTGTTTAGGGTACTTAGTGCTTACTTAAGTTATTATATTACATATTACATATACATTATCTCAGACCAGAATTCAGAGTTGTGAAACGTTGAAGTTATGTATAACGTCGTATGGTATCGGATGTACTGAAGAACACCTAATTCTTATTTGGAACGATGTGAAACAGGAAATATTTGGAGGAGTTAATAGAGACTTACGTGAAAGGTAAAAAACCTCTTTTTAAAACATTTTATATTATGGAGGAGTAGTGTTTTTCTTACTAACAAATAGATTCGCTAATCTAGATAAGAAAACCAAGACAAGAATGTTCTCGATGTAACCCCGGTTTTTCTATCAGGTGTCTAGAAGTAATATCCTCGCTGTTTTGGGTGCTGACTATTCCTAATGTGAAGAACAAATCTTTAGATCCGTCTCAGTTCATGGGTGTGGTGTTTGATTACTGCAAAGAGAAACTTAGTTACAGTGAAATTAAGTATCTCCGACCTACAGCGTGTATTCTTACTGCTATCGTTAAGAGTTCAGGTAACTTTTAATTTACTTTTTTTGATTCTTAATTTTTGTGGGACAGTGTGGCAATATTATAGGAATTTTCTGGAAAATAATTTTTATGGAAGCCGCGTAAACAACATTTTGGCGAAAGTGATTTTTACCCACGTGATTTTAGCGCGCGCGTATGTGGATAGATTGTGACCATGCTTGATCCATGCAGTAATGATTTCAGTTTCTAACTCTTTTAGAACATTTGAATATAATTTGAAACATTACAGAAATGTTGTACAAATCGCTCAAACACACACACTCGGTTTTAATTCGGTAAAATTCCATTCGAAAATTAAATGATTCTCAAAATGTAGGTGTCTAATGAAAATATGATACTGTGTGACAAAGTTAAGTATGTCGTAGTGAAATAGAGTTAACTGTCGATAAATTCATGTGAGGTACTATCGAAGTTCAAAATGTTGTGATGGGTGACATGATAATGACTGATAAGAAAAAGTTTTCATGTCAACTGTGCCAAATCCATAACAGTGTGATGACTGTCAAAGTGTCTACCACTAGGTACTTGGACGAACAAGTGTACCCGAGGTGTTCTGAGAGAATAAGGGGACAGGCTCGGGAACACGAGCGCGCGCTAGCCGCTAGGGCAAAAAAGTGAAATGCACAGTAAGCAAGTTAAAAAACGGAAAATTAAAATGCCGTTTGGGCCAAATGCAGTGAGCCAGTAAGGTACGGTTGTAGGAGCAAGTGGCTCTGAATACTAAAACTGATTAGGCTGATGCTGAAAATGAAGACTGAAAGAGGGGAAGCAAAGGGGAGGGACAGGATGCAGGGGGACAAGAAAAAAAGAAACAAGAGTGGAGACAAACCACCTGCTGAGGTCTGGCTAAAATCAGAATGCAGTGAGCGGCCCATGTAACATAATCGTCCGTGGCAGTCTACCCCGTACGCAGACTACGGTCCAAGATTTCAGGCGCCAGAATACACCTTTTGGTGCAGAGCTGGTCACGACCAGGGTCCTCTCGGATACCCCGTCTCGGAGGTCGGGCCAATGGAGCGATCCATTGCTGTACTGACAACCATTGTAACCCTATCACTCTGAAGGCCCCACAGTTCCTACATGGACGCACGGCCGGAAGCCCATGTAGGGACGGAAAGTCCCAAGAGTCGCTCATAGCATCCGTCACAGATCCAAAGCAAGAGGAGAAGGAGAAGGAAGGAAAGGAAGAACGAGAAAAGCAAAAAAGAGCTGAAGGACTACTTTCCATCTTCATCACGAAGGCTGTCTTTGTGCTTGAGGTTCAGACTGTACATTTCTCTGATGGTTGAGCATGAAAGTCTAATCAAGTTCACATCCTGCTCGTTAAGGTTACCGTAAAGATCTTGGGAGAGAGTGTTGACAATGTTGGTCAGTCCGTTGTCATTGCTGTTTCCCAAGCTTTCACTAGCTCTGGTAAACTTGTCTCTGATAGCCTTCCCTTGTGGGCAGGAAGTGAGAAAGTGTGTTTCATCCTCTATGATCCCGGTTGATCCTTTCAGTTCACAAAAGGTGCAAGTTCTGCTCTCTAGAGGTGTGTTTTCGTATCTCCCAATTTCTATGCTGAGTCTGTGAGAACTGCACCTTATTTGAGCTGTTGATCTTCTGTCATCGAGAGTTCTTGCATAATCTAGGTAAGGCTCCCATGCAAAGACTGTTTTGACGTCCTTGTAGAAAGTGAGTTTCCTGCTCTCGTTAATCTTTGATCTCCAGGAGTCTGTAAACAGCTTTTGAAAGTTATTAACCAGCTCGTCTGGACTGCAAGCGTCTGCAAACGCAGTTGCATTGAGTAAAAGCGAAGAGTTCCTTGCATATGTTCTAGGATCAATGTTGTTGAAGCACTTGATGATGTTTTCTATTCCAGAGTACCACGAAAGATGCAAGTTTACTTGCTCAGTCATAGCAGCCTTCACCAGTTGAGACGATGGAAGACACATTATCCTTTTGAAGTATTTGACACTTAGTTTTAATACTTCGATCAGTAGTGGGTACGAACCTGTCTCACCCCATGCAGTTGCATTGGTAGCCCGTCTGTTTATCCCAAGGAGGAACTTCAGGTGACGTAGGTGAACCTGCTCGATTTGTTGCTTTGCCATGTGGGTCATTGAGTTGTTCGAGTTTTTGTATGTTACATCCCAATGGTTTAGTTGATAATAACCGATTTCTCCTCTGAGTCTTTTCACTACCTAATGAAGGATGTATTCTCAGGAGCAGGAAGCGGTTTGGTAGCAGAGCATTGCCTGGATTGGTTTACAGACCGATTTCTAGAGCACACAGAAGCCAATGTGAAGCAGATAATATTAGATGAAATGGTAACTTTACTGGGAGATATGCAGTGTGAACCTGCTAGAGCCACAGCCGCTGTTAACCACTTTCAGTGGAAAAAGTAGGTTCGAGGATTAACCTTTTCATTAATATCTAGTCATTGAAAAAATGTATCTTCATTTTTACTATAACCAAACGGGTTACTCTTCTTTAAACCATATTGGAAGTCAGGTAACCGGGCCAATAATAACTTCTAACCTGTTACCATAGTAATCCTCTAATCTCCCTGCAGATTAGAAGGTATGTTTCTGGGTGTTATCTCTGATAAGCAGTCTCGAGAGTTATGCAGTTCTGGGCTATTTGCTATCAGTCAACTTCTCAACATTTACCATGCAACAGGTACTGTTAATTACTGAACTAATTCACTTAGCTACTAAGTCGTTGGGTGAATGCTGTCTTGGTGAGTATGTTTAGTTTCCAGACTGCAGTGGACAACTTGTTATATTCAAAACAAAGAACAGATAGAAATTTATTGAAACGGTTATCTTTATTTCGCAGCAGATATCTCATGATTGATATTAGATTTAACATGTGATGATTTCAGATAAGCACAAAGAAGAGGACCCATCTCTGAACATAGAATTAGTAGTTCTAGGAGTGTACGAGCTCTTATCAAGTTCAAATGATGAGGACGGGTTACAAATACTAACTGTTATCAGCAGAGAGTATCCTGACCTGGTTAACAAACTATTGCTGGATAAGCTACTGAGTCAGGTGATTAGAATATTAATTTAATGGTGAAAACGGCGAAAATGGCGTTTTCACCATTTTTCCAAGACATCGCAAAATATTGGCAATTATAGCTCAGGTTTAGCTCTATCAGTATGTAAAGCACGACTCTACCCGTATCAGATAATTACAGTTGCGGTTACACTGATTAACATAACAGGTAGATGAAGGAGACAGTTCAGCGAGGAGGATGTTGTCGCGATTGTTGGTGGGGAGGCTGCTAGTTCAACACTCTCCCAGACTAGTAAACCTGCTGATTGAGCGGGGACACGTTGAGATCATATCCCTCTTCACTGTTGCTTTATCTTATCAGGTTAATGCTGGGGTTGTGAGAATAGCTGTCTAATTCCAGTCTAAATATATCCGTATTTAGACTTGAAAATTTATCTGCACTATATTAAAAAATCAGGACACATTCCACAGGAAATGTATCATATCAGGAGACAGTGAAACTAGCGGGCTGCGATGAATGGGAACTTGCATGGCATCATTAAATATATTGACAACATTAAATATTAAATACACTTCCTCTAAAAATATATATGCATTTCAGGAGTCCAGTGAAGTGATAACGTTTTGTCAGCAGTTTATATTCAACCAACTACTCAACTACCTCATCCAACTCTCTATACAAGAACAGGACATTGAAAAGGCTGTTCTTCTATTTCAGGTAGGATAGTAGTTTATTTTATACTCTTAGATGGTAGTCTGTGCTATGTGTTGCTGTTATCTATATTGTCGTCTTTTAAAAACACTTTTCAAAGAGTTAAAGGTTTACCTAGTTGTATCGCAACTTATCTGTTATCTCGTTAAATTGACTAATTTCCACTTCTCAGGAGTTCACAGTAGCCCTGTACAAAAACAGATCACCTCGCCCTGTGGATATGACTGTGTTTACACAGACCTTCACAAGTAGTGCTGTATTCCAGCCCTTCTCTAGCTCCTCTTCACACCACCAGGTTACTATCTCTACTTTAGGTTACAAGCTGGCTACTAGGTTACTTACTGGTTACTAGCTGGCTACTAGGTTACTATCTCTACTTTAGGTTACTAGCTGGCTACCAGGTTACTAACTGGTTACTTACTGGTTACTAAGTTACTATCTAGTTATTAGGTTACTAAAAAACCCCTCTTCCTCAGACAATGCTGACAGCTATCTACTCTGCTGTTCTAATGTACGGATCACTTGACTCCACCTTTGATCCGCTGATGACTCCCCTAGATCTGGAACATGTACTGAAGTTAGCTTGTGTGTCTACTGATCCTCTTACTGTACAGTCCTTAGCTGCTGTAATTGGCCTCATGATCAACAGGTTTGTAGCGGAATGTTAATATTAGGGGGGGGGGGGGGGGGGGGGGTCAACCTCATTTTACCTCATGAGGCCAGCCAAAAAAGGCAAAACTGGGATGAGGTAAAATGAGGTAAAATGAGGTTGACCCCCCCCCATATTAAAGAAGTATCCCTGTAAATCAACCAACCTATTTTCTCCGGTAAATCAATCAAAATAAAGTTTGAGATTGTCACATTTAGATTAAATCAGCTGTAAAGTGTAAACCTGTCCTTTCAGAATGGACGAAGGACGACATTTAGAGGAATTGAAGACTCGTGTGTTTGCAGAACTGGACTCATGTGATCTGACTAATAACAAAGTAAGTGTTAAATCAACAACCGTTATTATATAAACTGTGAAGTTACTAGGTTACTAGCTGGTTACTAGCTGGTTACTAACTGGTTACTAGGTTGCTAGGTTACTAGCTGGTTACTTACTGGTTACTAACTGGTTACTAGGTTGCTAGGTTACTGAGTTACTAAGGAACATTACTCCCCACTCCGCAGGTTTGGATCTGTATCAGAGTATGTCAGGGGCTAGTTTACCGGTGGGATTCTTCAGCTGAACGAGCTGTGAAACTATTTGTGGAATGTTTAACAAACAAACAAACGCACTCTCACACTGCCCACTTGACCTGGCATGTGTTGGAACCTATTTATCAGGTGTGTTCCTCGCAGTAAACACGTCACACAACTAGCTGCTAAATTAGCTGCTAAATTATCTGCTAAATTCAATATAGCCTAAATTGCTGCGTACCTCAGTTTTCCATTCACCTTTTGAAAAAAGTTTTAGAAAATGTATTTTAAACTTAGTGACTGGTTGTCAGGGTAACAGAATGGTGTTACACAAACAGAGGTTCCTGCTTACTCTTATCCCCCTGATAACTCCTTACATCAGTAATCCGGTCCTACTTTCTGGTATGTCGTTAATCCAAGTATTTCTTTGTAAAACTGTCGCCTGAAGTTTAGAAACAAAGATATAATTTTTAGCGCAGCGCGGCCCATACCAGTGCAGTAGTTCATCGTGCTACAAAATATAATTTGCGCTGACTCCCCTCAATTTTGTGATTTGCCGATAATCTAACTTGAATAACTGGAAAGGTAGAGGGAATTTCTTACTAAATTTAGTTAGGAGTAATCTGACCTAGCCCGTCTGACCCCTCACCTAACCCATCTGGCTCCTCATTTGACGTAACCTGAGTTGCAGGAGAGATATCGAGCTCCCTGGTGCGAGGTATTGGGACCCTGCTGCTGGCCCTCCCCCAGTCCCTGGTCAGTACCCACGGAGACACACTCTACCCCGTAATCCTCAACAACCTCTCCTCCTCCACCTGCGATACAGCTGCTCTCCATCTCGTACAATATCTTCTCACCAACACTCCCGGTATCATTATAATGCACTTAGATACCCTAGTTAAGCAGCTGTGCGCACTGAGCGCATCGTGCGCTGTGTCAGTGCGCTGTCGTGTGGAGGCAGTGAAGACGCTGCAGATGTGCACAACACAGCTGCATCATAAACACACACACGTACAGAGGGAGTATGTAATGAAACAGCTGAGGACAGTGCTGGGGGATAAGAAGAGGGTTGTAAGATTGGCGGGGGCTGAGACTCTTCAAAGCTGGGTCATGTTACAACCTTGATTACAAGCTGGTTACTAGGTTACTGGCTGGTTACTAGGTTACTGGCTGGTTACTAGGTTACTGGCTGGTTACTAGGATACTTGCTGGTTACTAGGTTACTGGCTGGTTACTAGGTTACTGGCTGGTTACTAGGTTACTGGCTGGTTACTAGGTTACTTGCTGGTTACTAGGTTACTGGCTGGTTACTAGGATACTGGCTGGTTACTAGGTTACTGGCTGGTTACTAGGATACTTGCTGGTTACTAGGTTACTGGCTGGTTACTAGGATACTTGCTGGTTACTAGGTTACTGGCTGGTTACTAGGTTACTGGCTGGTTACTAGGATACTGGCTGGTTACTAGGTTACTGGCTGGTCACTAGGTTACTTGCTGGTTACTAGGTTACTGGCTGGTTACTTGGTTACTTTATAGTATCTAGTTGTAACTTTGATAACCTCGTTTTCATCGAGCATCTACCTTGATAGTATGGAGTTGCAACCTTTATCTCTAAAGTGTTGACATCTTAAAGTTGCAAGCTCGATGTTATCTATCTTTTACTAGCAAGTGCGCTAGGTTTTTAGTTTTTACTTCTGGTGAATTTTTATCAGGGGTCAATTTATAAATTTATGATGACGCTGTTTGCGAAAACAAATGCCTTAAAATATTTTAGATACCAAAAACTTGTTTAACAAACACTACAAACGTTGTCGGCTTCATTTAAGCTTCTTAACATTTTTATTATCCTTTAAGTTCTACTGATTTTGTTTTATTGGAGATCTATGTGAACCTATTTGCTTATTTGATGAAACGATTCTATAACAAATTAGTATTATTTCACATTTAAAGTTTTAAAGTTTTAAAACCTCATCTGATTAAGATGTTATATATGATGCAATTGATTATTGATGTAACTTACTACAGTACAGTATTGAAAAGCCAATTTTGGTATTATATACATCTGGCATCATTTTATTGTTATGTTCTAGAAGATATTGATATAAATTGATATGTAAGATATGTATTTAAATATCTTTCAGATACATATACTAACAGTAACAACTCACTAGATCGTGAAATGGCCCCCAAAGTGACAGTACCGTTAGATTTTGGAATAGAGAACCTACACTGTGAGTTTCACGGTAACGTAGTCCTAAAGTTACAAGGAGGAGAGGAAAAGAGAGCAAACTCCCTGATCCTGTCTTACCACAGTTCAGTGTTTGTTCACCTGTTCCTGGAACTACACCAGACAGAGCTACAGATGGAGGACTTTGCGGGGGAGGCGGTGAAGAGGTTCCTGGGGGCCCTGTACAGCGGGGAGATCCTGCTGGAGAAACACTTGTTCAGAGATGTTAACAAGCTGTGTCACGTGTTCAAAGTAGAGTGGTTAGCAGGGAGGTGTGGGGACTACTTTACCAGCCTGGTGGGTGGGGTGAGTTCCTCCTCTGATTACCAGACTTTGTTGTTTTTGTTTGAGGAGGCCAGGTTTTGTAGCAGGCTTATGAAATGTAACAAGTTTCTAGACCTGGTCCTAGAGAAGATTTGTAATCTGGAGAACAGAGCTGAGATATTTGTTGAGCCCTACATGAGGAATTACTCTGAACTAGAAACTAGTCAACTAGATTTAATGTTGCAGATTACAAGGAGTAATTCTGTTTTCTTGTTGAAGATAATGAAGAGGAATCTGGAGAGTAAGGGAAAGATATTTGATGAAGCTTCTCGTTACCTCCTACAAAATGTTGATCTTTGTAAGTGTATTTCTGATGATGAGGCTTCTTTTGAAGAACTGTTTGATGTTTTGGATATTGCTACACAATCATCTGATTCTGATGCATTATTTGTAAATACATTGTACAGGCGGTCTGTGAAAGAGTTCAAGAAAACAATAAGTTCAAATTCCTCTTTGCCATCAAATAATACCATCCTACCTGCATCTGCACATATTTTAAGTGCAACAGATATTCCCCACATCTTTTTCTCATTTGAGAGATTTCGTGGACTGAGTACACAGGAATATCTTAATGCCACCAGAGAATTTCCTCTTGTACTAAATTTGTACATGTTAATTGAAGGGCTTCGGATCTGCAGTGGCTGGCTCACCTGTGACATGGTACATGAAATAGAGATTATTCGTCGTAAGAGAGGATGGGGCAGAATATCACCTGAATTCCTTGAATCGTGGGATGAAGGATCAGGAGTTGCATTGGACACCGTTACAATAAAAGAACATGGAAATGATCTTACGTCTAAGGAAGAGAGTGTTAGACGAGTTGGAAGAGTAGTTGGGCCGGACAAAAAGATGTTAAGTTGGAATTCTTGTACAGTCAAAGATCTGTTTGAGACCTCACAATCTTATGCATTTAATTTCAAGCACCCTGACACTAATAATTGTCATCTTCCTGGAAAATGTGGATTTCTCTTAAAATGTACACCTGAAATGAAATCAGGGCAACCCCACAAGTTCAAAGTAAACATTTGCTTTAATCAGGAAGAATATCCTGAGGGACTTCATATTCATCCTGAATTTGTGAAAGCAGACAAAATTCATTTGGTGCCTATGTTCGAGTTTGGTTACAATATACCACTCGACATACTATACTGCTTCGCCACTTTTACATGGAATGAGTTGGGTGTAATCACTGTAAGTAATGTTTTAGGTGAAGGTGACTCGTCAAAGTGGAAAATTGGCCGCACGGATGTAAATCCTTCGAATAGTTGTATGTTTGTAGCATTTATAACTTTATAGTTTATAAGAGTTGGAATAATCTCCAAGGAGATATGATTTCTAATGAATTCTTTAATTTGGGACTGCTCACGATGAGTTTAATATGAAGAGTTTGATGTAGTTGTAGAATGTAGGTTTTAATTTTACAATAATTACAAGAATATATATTTTCTATTCAATTTCCCACGCTTTAAATAAAGAGACCATCTGAACCAGTAATTAGATAATATATAACCTGTTGAATCGAAACTAAGTCTAAAATTTTCACCAATTTAATATTTTTAAAAACCTTTCTGCGAAAGATTGGCTTCAAAGTTTGAACGTTGCATTATAATACGTGAATAATTGAATAATTGCTTTTCAATACGTTTGTTTACTTAAATATTCTCGACGTTTGTTCAGATACAACATCTTATCAGTCATTCAGACAGCTCATCATATTAAGAGTAACTGTCTAATTATTCTAATTATTTTTGACGGCCCCAACGTTAATGTGGCTCTTGCTATGTGTTGGTTCAGCCGAATTAATTATTATGTAATCAAGTTTGTTTTTCTCTTTCAGTTAGTTGTCATCCGGCCAAACATTAAGCAACTTATATTGCAGTTCCATTTATCAATTAGTTTATCAAAATATGTCATTGTAATTTTGCATGGCTGAAATGTAACGCTTGATTTATATATAATGATTAATTGAATTTTCAAATTAAAAAAAAAACTAATGACTTACTTTATCAGCATCATGGCTCCGAAGGTGACAGTACCGTTAGATTTTGGACTAGAGAACCTACACTGTGAGTTTCACGGTAACGTGGTCCTAAAGTTACAAGGAGGAGAGGAAAAGAGAGCAAACTCCCTGATCCTGTCTTACCACAGTTCAGTGTTTGTTCACCTGTTCCTGGAACTGCACCAGACAGAGCTACAGATGGAGGACTTTACGGGGGAGGCGGTGAAGAGGTTCCTGGGGGCCCTGTACAGCGGGGAGATCCTGCTGGAGAAACACTTGTTCAGAGATGTTAACAAGCTGTGTCACGTGTTCAAAGTAGAGTGGTTAGCAGGGAGGTGTGGGGACTACTTTACCAGCCTGGTGGGTGGGGTGAGTCCCTCCTCTGATTACCAGACTTTGTTGTTCTTGTTTGAGGAGGCCAGGTTTTGTAACAGGGTCATGAAATGTAATAAGTTTCTAGACCTGGTCCTAGAGAAGATTTGTAGTCTGGAGAACAGAGCTGAGATATTTGTTGAGCCCTACATGAGGAATTACTGTGAACTAGAAACTAGTCAACTAGATTTAATGTTGCAGATTACAAGGAGTAATCCTGTTTTCTTGTTGAAGATAATGAAGAAGAATCTGGAGAGTGAGGAAAATATATTTGATGAAGCTTCTCGTTACCTCCTACGAAATGTTGATCTTTGTAAATGTATTTCAGATGACGAGGCTTCTTTTGAGGAGCTGTTTGATGTTTTAGATAATGCTACACAATCATCCGATTCTGATGCATTATTTGTGAATAAGTTGTACATGAAGTCAGTGAAGGAGTTTAAGAAAACGGTGAGTTTAAATTTCTCTTTCCCATCAAATAATGCCGCTCTCCTTGCACCTGCACATCTTTTAAGTGCAACACAAATTCCCCACATATTTTCCTCATTTGAGAGATTTCGTAGACTAAGTACACAGGAATATCTTAATACCGCCAGAGAATCTCCTCTTGTACTCAATTTGTACATGCTTATTGAAGGGCTTCGGTTCTGTGTGGAAAGGCTTACTCCTGAAATGGTACATGAAATAGCGATTATTCGTCGCAAAAGAGGATGGAGCAGAATATCGCCTGAGTTCCTTGAATTATGGCATCCGGCATTGGCTCGAAATGCCGATACAATAAAAGAACATGGAAATGATCTAACATCTAAGGAAGAGAGTGTTAGACGAGTTGGAAGAGTAGTTGGGCCGGACAAAAAGATGTTAAGTTGGAATTCTATTACAGTTAAAGATTTGTTCGAGACCTTACAATCTTATGCATTTAATTTCAAGCACCCTGACACTACTGATTGTCATCTTCCTGGAAAATGTGGATTCCTCCTAAAGTTTACCCCGGTGATGAAGTCTGGGCAACCCCACAAGTTCAAAGTTAACATTTGTTTAAATCAGGAAGAATATCCTGAGGGACTTCATATTCATCCTGAGGTTGTGAAAGCTGACAATATTCATTTGATGCCTATGTTTGTTTATGGTAATGATACACAGCCCGATATGCGCTACTACTTAGCCACTTTTACATGGAATGAGTTGGGTATACGTGAGGTCACAAGTGAAGGTTCCTCGTTAATGTTGGTAATTGGTCGGACACGTATATATCCTTGGGAAATGTGCAAGTTGGTAGCATTTATAACTTTATAGTTTACAACAGTTGATACATTTTTAACAGTTGGATATCTTTAGAGTTGGAATAATCTCCAAATAGTTGTGATTTCTAATGAATTTTAAAAATAATTTCTTTTCAAGATGACTGTTATCTTGATTATTCTCCATATTTTCATAATACAACATATTATCATAGTCATTAAGACAGATAATTATTATATCAAGATAGATCAAGACAGAGCCTTACCTTCCACGTATGCGGTACTTTTTAACCTTGATACTAAAGTTGTGAAGCAAAGTTTGAACATTGTAATGTATCTAAATATTTTAACAATTTCTTTTCAAGATGACTGTTAACTTGAATATTATAGACGTTTGTTCAAATACAACATCTAATCAGTTATCCAGACAGTTCATTGCATCAATAATAGCTGTAAAATTACTCCAATACTAATAACTTACCTTATCAGAAACATGGCTCCGAAAGTGACAGTACCGTTAGATTTTGGAATAGAGAACCTGCACTGTGAGTTTCACGGTAACGTGGTCTTAAAGTTACAAGGAGGAGAGGAAAAGAGAGCAAACTCCCTGATCCTGTCTTACCACAGTTCAGTGTTTGTTCACCTGTTCCTGGAACTGCACCAGACAGAGCTAGAGGTGAAGGACTTTGCGGGGGAGGCGGTGAAGAGGTTCCTGGGGGCCCTGTACAGCGGGGAGATCCTGCTGGAGAAACACTTGTT